AGTCTTAAAAAGAAATAACTGGTGGTAGACAAGAGACGTAAATTTTGAAATAAGGAGAACAATTCTCAGTGGGAGACTGAGGAAAAATTCACTCAGAATAAGGAGAACAATTCTCAGTGGGAGACTGTAAGACCAGTGAGTGGAAAAACAAAGCACAGAGGTTAAGATGCACCACAAGCACTCCATGATGCCATTCTCAGGCTGCTGAGCTACACTTCCTCCAGCTGCTCCTCATGTGTCCTATCAAGAGATGCTTACTGGATCTTAAAGTAACCCTACTACAGCTGATTTCAGAGCTAATGTTAAGTTTAGCTTTAGCACACTCGTGCAAACCCACAGGAATTCCCTGTCTGTAACAAGCATTCACAAATGTCTCCATGACCAGCTTAAGTAACACACACAACTGAGTCTTACAAATGCACCCCAAGAAATCTTCTTCTAAGGAAATGAAGATGTGGCACCAACAGCAGTTGCTGATAAAGTATCTTATAACCCCTCTAAATTGAGTAGAAAAGGTGTAAACTGATGGAGACTTTTTTCCTAATATATTATTTGAACTTCATCTTTGTATACGAAAAAAGAGACATTCCATATCCTTTCTTCAGAACCCTTAAAAACAGATTAACTTAAAAATAAACCCTACTTATCCATTATATTACAGCTTAAAAAAAAACAACCAACCAAAGAAAAAAAAAACCACAACACCCAATCCCACAACAACCCACATATGGAATTTACCTCACATCACCCAGGAGCTTCATAATCTCATCTGACTTTTCTTCACTGAAATACAAAACATATGATTGGAGGTTATATAGCTTGTCTCAACACCAGAAAACAAGATAAAATTATAAAAGAGAGAAAGAAGATGACAATTTCTTACCTGAAAATTTTTGCAGTGGTGCTGTAACTGAAAACAAAATAATTATTCTCAATAACAGTGATCAGACACGCAACCCAAAGCATCTGGAGAGCATTAAAGATGAATAATCAAAACAATGACAACAAAGGACAAATTATCACTTCTCAAGCTTACTAGTATAATGCTTACTTTTTTGGTAGCGCTGGTAATTTAGGCAAAAGGAGATTGGATTCATCCTCAGCGTTGTAGAAGGAAGTGAGAACACTGAAAAAGAAATAACTGTCTTTACCACCCAAGCTGTAAAAATTGGTGGTGGGGGGGAAGAGGATTTCTTACTAACTTCAAAGTTACAGCATGTATCCATAACTGTCTTTACCACCCAAGCTGTAAAAAGTGGTGGTGGGGGGGGAAGAGGATTTCTTTCTAACTTCAAAGGTACAGCATGTATCTAATACGTCATGTATGTTAAAGAGTTACAAGTATCAGAGGATGATCCCTTATGGGGCCTTTAATAGATAATTTATCAAATGATCAAGTTAATAAAACAAGTCTGAAAAATGTTTGGAAGTATCAGAGGATGATCCCTTATGGGGCCTATAATAGATAATTTATCAAATGATCAAATTAATAAAACAAGTCTGAAAAACGTTTGGTTTTTTTTTTTTATCTCCACCAAAGGAGAAGATAAAGTTTGTACCTGCTGGCTCAGTAGCTTGCCACCTCATCATCTGTAATGCAGTTACTGACTGAGGCTTTCTGTTTGAACCCTGTACAGCCATGCCTGCCTACGTCTCAATAGAACTTTTATATGATTGTTCATAAGATGCTAAGTATAAATTATTAGTGAGGTGACACTACACAGCCCACAGTCTACTTCTAGAGTTTTTTGGACTCACCTGCTTTCCTCAGTTACTTCCATCCAGTGCATGTAAGTAATAGATGAGTCCACGGAAAAGGAGTGCAAGCTTTCAGGTTTTTCCACGTCACACAGAATAATCCGTTTGGTATCAGAGAGGCCGAAAGCCAAAACTAGAGAAAGAGGAGTAAAACGTGTAAAAACCAACACAGAAAACTTCGTAGTTACTTTAAGAGTGGATCAGAAAATACTGGACAGATTTTTCTCTTTGTCTATATGCACACTTGTCATGGTTTCAGTGGGGAGCAATCTAATTTCTTCACTTGCAGCTGGTACAAGTGCTGTGTTTTGGATTTGGGATGAAAGCAGTGTTGACACTGGTGTTTTTGGTTGTTGCTGAGCGGTCAAGGCCTTTTCTGCTCCTCACACCACCCTACCAGTGAGTAGATGAGGAGGGGGCACAAGAAGTTGGGAGGAGACATAACAAGGACAGCTGACCCCATGAGTTTTCTCACTTTTCCTCTTCTGATTCTCTTCCCCATCCCAACTAGAGGAGTAAGCGAGTGGCTGCGTGGTCCCAGCTGCCAGCTGGGGTTAAACCATGACAGTCTGTTTCAGCCCTGCAAGCTGGGCACCAAAAAGGATTGTTGTGGTTTAGCAGTTTTCCCCCTTCACAGAATCACAGAATAATATGGGGTTGGAAGAGACTTCTAGAGATCATTGAGTCCAACCCCCTGCCAGAGCAGGAAAGGAAGGGAAAGGAAATTAACTCTGTCCCAGCTGAAGCCAGGACAACAGTCCTTCCAAAGTCTTGTTTGAAACCTACATATCAAAATGAAGGTTGGAACTCCTGTCATACTTCAGATGATAAATTTAAGCCAAAGGCCATGATCCCACAATTATTTATCTACATGTTGAACTGAACATGCTTCTAACACTTCTGACTACACTTAGGATAAAGCAGAAGTATCAGTTTTTGCAAATTTGAGGCCAAATTGTATATAAAGACTGCCCGCTTAGAAAAGTTTGGGTTTTATTACAACAAAATGCAATTTAACACTTGCTGAGCAACCTCTGCATCACCTTCTTCTTAACTTTATTAATCCACAAAAGCATATGGCAGGCAAAGTTTCTATGCTTAATTCCTCATAATCACTGGCAACCAGCTTAAAAATAAGTTTCTTAAACTTCTCTAACTCCACTAGGTATTTTTACCCACATCATGGATGAAGATTAATCCCATTCTCTGGCTTCTAATGAGTCAAAAAATTAACTAATTTCCATCTTAGCTTTATTAATCTACTAATTTCAACATTCTTTCTGTTGGTAAGAAAAAGGATTTTTGTCTTCTCTGGTGTATTAGAGCAACTTTAGCCTCTGAAGTTTGTCTATGCTAAATAAACTAAGCTCTTTAGTCACCCCTATTCAGCCAGACTCTCTACTCACACACATAATACATTTTGTCATTCAAATAAAAATAGTCTGCTTAGTTAGGAACGGGAAATTTTGCTGTACCTTGATAAACAGTAATTTGGACATCCATCCACCTTGCAAGCCTTTTTTGCTATTGCTCTCAACAGTGTAACTCCATTACTTTGAATAAACCTACGTAAAATTAAGTCCCCCTTCTCTCTAAACACAGTTTAACTGAAAATTATCTTCATGAGTAAGCGGTATCATCACCACAAATTTCACTGATTTTCAATGGCAATTTCATTGAACCATTATTGCACAGAAGGGGGCCTACAGGAGAGATGGGGAGGGACTCCTGATCAGGGAGTGGAGCCATAGGATGAGGGGGGACAGTTTTAAACTGAAAGAGGGGAGATTTAGATGAGATCTCAGGAAGAAATTCTTTCCTGTGAGGGTGGTGAGACACTGGAACAGGTTGCCCAGAGAAGCTGTGGCTGCCCCATCCCTGGAGGGGTTCAAGGCCAGGCTGGATGGGGCTTGGAGCAACCTGGTCTGGTGGGAGGTGTCCCTGCCTGTGGCAGGGGGTTGGAACTGGGTGATCTTTAAGGTCCCCTCCAACCCAAACCATTCGGTGATGATTCTATAACACCCCATATACTTGTCTTTACTTTTGCCATCTGGTCTCCAGGCAAGAGCAGTCACTTCTTTTCCTGTATTTTCATTCGGAGGCAAACTCCACACCCGTTGGAAGTTGGCGAGCCGATGGAGCAAAACCTACAAACACACCAAAAAACAGAAAAATAAATCACGTTGTCCCATTAATACCTGTATTAGACCAGTTCAAGGTGCACTTTTTTTTACCATTCTTTAGAATCATAGAATTGCCCAGGTTGGAAGGGATCTTCAAGATCATCTAGTCCAACCCTCAGCCTAATTCTGATAAAAAACCATCACTAAACCATGTCACTAAGCACTATGCCAAGCCGTCTTTTAAATACCTCCAGGTAAATACCTCCTTTAATAACCCTAAATATTTTACCATCCCTTAATAAATATACATCTTAAGTATCACCTGCTCCTCTAGTAGATGACTGACTCCTATTTTAGGGTACAGCACACCGTTTATGACACAGCAAGAGAGAGAAACAGGCCCTGCACTGTGCCAGCCTGGAAGCCCCTAACCAGCAAGGGTTACCCACTCTTCTCCAGCAGAGCCGGCCTCAGAGCACAGCCCTCTGTCTTCAGCAATTCCAGGGGGGAAAAAAACCATAAAACCAAAATACTTT